AAATTTTGTTTAATTCCTAACCAGTTATTAAAAGCTTTTGTAGCCCAAGATGTAAACTGAGTACCTTTATCAGAAATAATAACTTCTGGAAAACCCACCCTTGAAAAAATTGTTAACAATGCCTCCTGAATATCGTTTGATGTTATAAATTTCAGAGGTACACACTCAGGCCATTTTGTAGCAACATCAATAAAAGTTAAAATAAACCTGTTTCCCTTTGCTGAAGTCACTGGTAATGGGCCAACAATATCAATTGCAACTTGTTCAAATGGTCTTGATGCTATCAGACCTATTTGCACTGGAGCCTTTGGGTTCTCTCCTTTTTTTGTGGTTTTAGCACAGGTATCACAAGATCGAACATAATTTTTTACATCTTTAGAAAACCCAGGCCAATAAAATGTGGATAGAATCCTCTTCTTGGTTTTTGTTATTCCCATGTGCCCAGAGAAGATGGAATCATGTGCTAATGATAGGGCTTTTGGTCTGAATTTTTGTTTTAGTACCGTCTGTTTATAGACTTTTGGACCTTTCTGATATATTCTAAGTAGTACATTCTTTGATACAATAAATTTCCATGTTGCAAATTTCTTTACTACTGGGTCTGTATGAACCAAATCAAAACATTTCTTTAGTGATGGATCAGATACTTGGGCATCTTGAAATTCTCTTTGGCTGTTAATGTTTTCTTTTGTAATGGGTACCAGTTCTGTAGTTAAGTTCTCTTCTCTTAACTTTTGTTGTATGGTATCAGTCATGCTTCTGGTTACTGCAGCAGCTAGTTGGGAAGCACTTGGGTCAGACAATTGTATCAAATCAGTTTTACATGATTGAAAATTATCATGTTTACATAATTTAACACTGGATGAAACTTTTAGGTTTGATGGGTTATTTACTTTCTCACCATTCATCATTTCTCTTTCATTCAGTACGATTGGTGTCTTTTTAACACCTAATAACTTTTTCTCATCTTTTGCATTCTTTACTTCTTTCATACCTTTATCCTTGCATACTGTGGTCGTATTCTTTTCATGTTCACTACTTTTCATACTGATATTCTCAAATTTTCCATGACCAATCAAATGTTCCCTGTTTTGGACGCAATCACTTTCATTCATTTGTACTACTGCATTCACACTATGGCAAAAATCTTGATCACTAGTATTTAGTTTCTCTCTTTCTTTCAATTCCTTGATGTTTTCTCTTTCCCACTGAAAAATTTCCTGTTCAGACATTTCTCTCAGACCTTTTTCATTCCCCAAAATTAAACCTGCACATGGTGCTGATAGAACGGCTACTTTCAATCTGCCTTGAAAAAAAGGTGTTTTAACATTAACAAATGCAAGTTTATATTTCTCAATTGTGCCTCCAAATGTTCTGCAATTTACATGTTTGTTAGTAATATCTTCAGGTTTGATAAGATCTTTGTGGATACCTGAAATTGTGGCGCCCGTGTCTCTCAAAATGGTGGTTATTCTTCCATTTACAATTCCTCTGTATAATTTTAAGGTTCCCTGTGTATTTGTGGCTGAGTTGGCTTCTTGTACAGGTATATTATGGCCACATGAAAGGCTATCTTCTTCATGGAACTGTTGACATACAGGGCAAGTTTCAACAGTTACTGCATTGGTCTCAAATGGTTCGGTGTCTGAATCTGAGTCAGACATTGCTTGTGCTATGTTGGCTTCCTTAAATTTTCTTCTAAATAAACAGTCTTTTTTAACATGATTATAGCAACCACAATTGTAACATTTAATGGCATCTTTATACAATCTCAACCTCTGTGTTCTTCTATTAAACAGTTTGTCTACATAATCTTTATAACCCGGATTTCTATCACACATTTTGTCGTTCGGATGAGATTTTTGACAATATTTGCAGTACATCATTTGCCACTTTTTGTTGAATGTGGTTTTGTTTTTGTGTGGGTTTGCCCCTTGGTTGTATCTGCCTTTGTCATAACTGGCACTAGCTCCAGTTTCAATGTCTGGTACCGGGTTGGAAATGAAGATTTCACGATGGGCTGAAAAATAATTCTCACCTAAGTTCTCTAACTCCTTCAATGAGGTTGGTTTATTTTCTCTTAAAAAGGTTGACATAGGTTTAGGTAAAGACTCCAACATTTTGTTCCTTAATAATAAATCTACTAGTAATTTATAATTATCTCTAACATTGGCCGAATCAATCCATTTATCAAAAATATTCTGAACTTCCGAAAAATAGTCAGTGAACGTCTGATCAGACTTTGGTTTTAAATCCAGAAACTTTTTCCTATACCCTGCATCATGTAGGTCATAGTGTCGCATGATGCGATCTTTAATATAGTCAAAGTCTAATCTTATATGTTCAGGGACTGTTTCTAAGATCTTCAATGGTTCGAATGCTAAATGTTTTTGAAAAATAATGGCCCACTGGTCTTTTGGAACATCATGAAAGCGCATTTGCAAAAGAAAGCTAGATATATAACTACCAATGTCATCCTTTTCAGAGAAATTTCTGACTATACCTGCATACTTTTTGAATTTATTTTCTTCTTCTTTTAATCTTTCTTTTTGGATAGCAGCTTCTCTTCTGGAATCATTTTCCATTTCTTTAGTTCTGATTTGTGCCTCTGTCTTTTCTTTTTCAATCTGAATCGACGCAGCTATCTTCTCGCGTTCCAAATTCAGTTCTTGTTCTTTTAATATTCTTTCTTGTTCCATTTGTCTATTTTTCATTTCTTTTTCCTGTTCCAGTTGTCTATTTCTCATCTCCAGTTGGTGTGCTCGTGACAATCTTCGTTCTTCCCTCAAATCGTCTTGTATTTTCTTTTCTTTCTCATCCATTTCTTTTTTCTGTTGATCACAAAATTTTCTTCTTCCCCTTCCAAATTTAATTCTTTGCCCAGTTTGATCAGCTCTGCCAAGGTAGACATTTTTATGTCTTTACAATGTAAACAGTGAAGTTACAATTCCTTTCTTTCAAAATACACACCTTAAAAAGAACAATATAAGTTCAATGTAATGAACTAGTAACTTGAATTAATAACTAAATGTCCTTGGGTATCAATACTATACCTTAAAATAAAGTGGATGTAACTCTTCCAACCACCAAGCTTATAACTAAATAATTCTATATATGTACAGTTGATGTTTGAGAAGAAGAGTTAACTAATATTTGTTTAGCTTATGGGGGAGTAAATCAGTTAAGCACACTTGAGAAATTAGATATGACAGCAAGAAAAATGATCTATTATTTGATAAAGATTTAATAATCAACTAATAGAATGTTATAGCACTAAAGTAGATACCGTGGATTATCAAGTATTGACCAAATAAATAACTAATTAATTTGTAAATGTGTAACAATGTTATAACAATCCTGTGTAGCACAATAGTTGGTTATAAAGTTTCAGACTGATTATACCTTGTAAAATAACACCAAAAATTGTTTTTAATGGCCGCAGTCTGGGTATAATTAAATACTCTTCTAATAAAATAAAAAATATTTGATTGAATTAGTCTTGATAATCGACTGTGATAAAGTAATCACTAATACTCTCAAATAATTAAATTATTTCACGTAATAACTACTAAATACACTTGTTCAGTATGATGCTTATTAAATTCGCTTTCAATGAAGCAAAAACTCAGTTACAATATATATGCAGAAACTTGTAACAAAATAATTCTTATCCACCAATAATAGTATTCAATACAAATTTAAAAAAAAATATAGTGTTGAATCAATGAGTGTATCACCAAATAATATTACAATGATATTTCCCCAATCAACCAATGATTAACTTATTATTCTTGGTATACAATACAATTTCTATTACCCACAACTGTATTTTTGTTATAGTGGTTACACTTGATGATAATCAAATATGACCTTCAAGCAGAAATCACAATCGCCCTACACTAACATCTTGAACGAAACACAGCAGCTGTCCTGACAGACAAACTCAGACGACCCGCAGACATATTGCTGGCCAGCTTTTTTCGCCAAGTTGGACTGGAACAAATTCACTCACAAAAACATCTGCTGAATCCACACATCATCCACCGCTGTCCATGCACACTGTTCCTAGGTCCAAAACGAGACTGCCCCACAAACCTTTTCTTCGCTATTATATAGCCCTCTGATCTGTCCTGTTCTCGAATATTCTGGATAATTTCATTCTCACGAATTCCCCGTACAAATCCTGCCAGTCAACCTTCATGGTTCACGTGAACAATCATGTTTCACATAAAACCTGACTTTCAGATGTCTCTCATGAAACTCAAGACATAAATCTCGTGTTATCTCAGTCAGTCAAAACATTCGCCTTACATTTATTACTGACGTCATCTATCGGGCATAACTTAATGGGGAGAAAATGACTCACTACACCTTACTTCTATGTTCTCTAATCCCATAGGCTGATGCACCTGTTTTGTACAGACTCCTTAATTGTGTCCCATTGTTAGCTTGCTGTAGAGTTATCCTGGATATAAGTGAAAGCATCTTTGAGCTGTTGTTGGAACTTAAAACACTTTTCAGGGTCTTTAGTTTTGGAAATATTTAACTTGTGAAAATTATCTCTTGTTTGTCATCCAAACTCTTGTAGCAACTAGGGAATGGTCAGTATCACAGTCAGCACTGTGGGAGGTGCAAGCTGCCTGTGACCTAGACCTTATTCCACTTTCCTGCCAATTCAGCCAACCTTTACCTCCCCCATATTTCTGACCTTCCTGCCACTACCAGCTCAACTTTTCCACCTTGGCCACACCCACCCCCTCCTTCCTCCCAGCGTTCTGCATCTTCTATTTCAACAGGCAGCAGCTGATACCATCTGGGACTTCACTTTTTCACTTATTCAAATAATGCCAAATATGTTTTCTCTCAGTATACCTTCCAGCTTAAATGTGGCAACACATGTAACATGTAGTAGTTTGTGAGTGAGGTATCTTAACGAGATAGATGATTTGAATCTCAAACCTTGTTGACTGAAGGTGTTGATGTAATGTTGTGGTCAACAGTCATCTGGAGCTTCCAGTCACAGACCACACGTTTGATGACTGCCGACTGATGCGGGAAGCACAGAAGCTGCACATGTCACCAAGAGCAGGACTTGTGGAAATGCAGAAACTACACTCCAAACTTGGGTAAGATCTGCTGGTGAATTGTTTCCTTGCCTAGTGCTCTAGGATAATGTCATGCCGGCAGATCTTCTGTCTAACATCCAGACATCCAAGCATTTTGGATAGGCATGAATGCCTCCTCACTCTAGTGGGGACAATGGTTACAGAATTTGTTGTAGAGTTGTATCAGCTAGAGTCATTCTCACCGTAAACAAATTGTTAAAGAGATACAGAGTTCTTTCTCCATTTTTTTGTATTTCTGCAAGTCACTTCTGATAATCTGGTTGTGGACATATGGCAGTGACAACAGTAGCAAGTTGATTTGAATAACTGAGCATCAAATTATTAATGCGTGTCATGGACTGATATCCATTTCATTACATAAACAGAATTTATTTTGAAAACCTTGAGCATTGAACTTGCAGACCTTTTGCCCTTCTTATCTGTCTCTTTTCATTCAGTCATGAACTTGTTTAAAGGTCGTTTTAATGAATGTATTCAGATTTAATCATAGACAGTGAATTTATATGCTGTATGCATATTGAGTTTCAGTACATAACATTTAGTATCACAATCATTTTCACTTATCAGATTTATAATCATATGTTTCTGTTGGTTAATGAAATATTTCAAGCTATACTTTTGATGGTTGACGAAATATATTTCTTGATTCAAGAGCAATCCCTAATGGTCTATGTGACACTGACCATAAAATAGTTGTGTTAACAGCAAAACATCTTACATTAAAGAAACACAGAAAGAAATTAAACAAAAACAAGGATCTCATCAAGATAGCAAATCTGAAACAAGAAGGAGTAAAAGAACAGTTACAACAGAAAGTAGAGACAGCATTCAAACAACTTCCACATGTAGTTGGCAAAATTGAGGAAGAATGGAGTATATATAAAAACACTATGCTTAGTATTGCAGAAGAATTATGTGGAAAACGGAAGAGTGGAAACAGACGGGGAAATAACAAATATTCACCTTGGTGGTGCGAAGAAGTAAAAGAAGCAATTAAAAAGAAAAAAGACTTATATAAACAGTGGATAAAATCAAAGAAAGAAGAAGATTATATAAACTATAGACTGCAAAGGAGAGAAACCAACAGGAGTGTCAAGAAAGCAAAACAAGCATCCTGGGAACGTTTCGGTGAGTCACTAGCAGAAAATGAGAAAACAGCCAGCAGAAAATTTTTCAAAGTAGTTAAAAATATGCGGAAAAGAGATGAGAGCTATAACCCTACTGAAATAATTAATGATAAGACAGGAAGGCCATTGATAGATCCACCCGAGATAGCAGAAAGATGGAGGGAATACTTCAATGAGCTCTTTAATCCTCTAGGAGATCATCAGGAAATAACAACTGAAGAGCACAGAGCAACAGTGTTAGAACCACACAAACTAATGGATGAAATAGAAAAAGTCATTAAACAGTCTCCCAAATATAAAGCACCAGGAGCTGATAGATTACCAACAGAAATAATTCAAGCAGCAGGTGAAAGCAGCATCAGATGGCTTCACAGAATATTCAGTGCAGCATGGGTACAACAAATGGCCCCTATTGATTGGCAACATGCAATAGTTATACCATTGTGGAAGAACAAAGGAAGCAAACGAGAATGCGGTCAATATCGAGGCATCTCTCTTTTAACCATGTTGGCAAAATGTATGCCAAGATAATAGAAACAAGACTGAGACCAGTGATAGAACCACAGCTGGCGGAAGAATAGATGGGATTTAGGAGAAATAGAAGCTGCACAGATGCAATCTTCACACTTTAACAGTTAATAGAAAAGAACATTGAATACAATAAGAACTTACTTGTGGCATTCGTAGACCAGGAGAAGGCATTTGACAGAGTCGACAGACAATTATTATGGAAAATAATGGCAAGATATGGAGTAAGCGATCACCTCATCGAAGTGTGCAAAAGTTTATACAGGGATTGTAGAAGTGTAGTTGATAGCAGATACAGCCATGAAATTGCAACATCTAACATCCATGAATGAAGAATGTAAAACAAATAATATGAGAATCTACACTGAAAAGACAGAAGTAATGTCAATAGGAAAAAAGAAGACAGATCTAAACATAGCAATAGAATACAAAGGCATTCAACAGGCATCGAGTTTAAATATCTGGGAACTACATTTACCGAAGATGGGAAATTGGATAAAGAAATTGACATTAGATGCAGTAAAACAAACCAAGTATTGGGACAGCTTGCCCCCCTCTTACAGCATAAGACAATCCCAATCAGCACAAAGAGACATCTTATTCAAAGCATATTTATACCAACTCTGTGCTACCAGTGCCAGACATGGTCACTCACAACAAACCATAACAGAAAATTAGTAACCACGGAAATGAGATGTCTGAGAAGGGCTGCAGGAGTGACCATAAGAGATAAGATCAGGAATGAGATCATAAGAGAACAAGTCGGCACAGAGCCAATTCTGGATTACATACAAAGACAGCAAGTGAAATGGTTTGCCCACTTAGAAAGAATGCCTTGTTACACCATACCATACAAAGCATACATGGAAAGAGAAGAAGGACGTAGAGCACGGGGTAGACCAAGAACAAGATGGAAGGATAACATCAGAGAAACTCTACAACAGCACGATGTGCCTATGGTCGAGGCAGCCAGAAGAGCTAGAAACAGAACCTTATATCTCCCTCGACACCCACAGCGGTAAAAGAGGAAGTGAGGAAGAAGAAGAAGAAGACGAAATATATCAGGCTCTTATTCTGATGGCTGATGAAATTTTTCAAGTTATACTTTTGATGAAATATTTCTGGCTATACTTTTGATGGTTGGTAAAATATTTGAGATTGATCCTTTTTGTGAAATATTTGAGGCTATACTTTTGATGAAATATTTCTGGCTATACTTTTGATGGTTGGTAAAATATTTGAGATTGATCCTTTTTGTGAAATATTTGAGGCTATACTTTTGATGAAATATTTCTGGCTAAACTTTTGATGGTTGGTAAAATATTTGAGATTGATCCTTCTTGTGAAATATTTGAGGCTATACTTTTGATGAAATATTTCTGGCTATACTTTTGATGGTTGGTAAATTATTTGAGATTGATCCTTTTTGTGAAATATTTGAGGCTATACTTTTGATGAAATATTTCTGGCTATACTTTTGATGGTTGGTAAAATATTTGAGATTGATCCTTTTTGTGAAATATTTGAGGCTATACTTTTGATGAAATATTTCTGGCTAAACTTTTGATGGTTGGTAAAATATTTGAGATTGATCCTTCTTGTGAAATGTTTGAGGCTATACTTTTGATGAAATATTTCTGGCTATACTTTTGATGGTTGGTAAAATATTTGAGATTGATCCTTTTTGTGAAATATTTGAGGCTATACTTTTGATGAAATATTTCTGGCTATACTTTTGATGGTTGGTAAAATATTTGAGATTGATCCTTTTTGTGAAATATTTGAGGCTATACTTTTGATGAAATATTTCTGGCTATACTTTAGATGGTTGGTAAAATATTTGAGATTGATCCTTTTTGTGAAATATTTGAAGCTATACTTTTGATGAAATATTTCTGGCTATACTTTTGATGGTTGGTAAAATATTTGAGATTGATCCTTTTTGTGAAATATTTGAGGCTATACTTTTGTTGAAATATTTCTGGCTATACATTTGATGGTTGGTAAAATATTTGAGATTGATCTTTTTTGTGAAATATTTGAGGCTATACTTTTGATGAAATATTTCTGGCTATACTTTTGATGGTTGGTAAAATATTTGAGATTGATCCTTTTTGTGAAATATTTGAGGCTATACTTTTGATGAAATATTTCTGGCTAAACTTTTGATGGTTGGTAAAATATTTGAGATTGATCCTTTTTGTGAAATATTTGAGGCTATACTTTTGATGAAATATTTCTGGCTATACTTTTGATGGTTGGTAAAATATTTGAGATTGGTCCTTTTTGTGAAATATTTGAGGCTATACTTTGATGAAATATTTCTGGCTAAAACTTTTGATGGTTGGTAAAATATTTGAGATTGATCCTTTTTGTGAAATATTTGAGGCTATACTTTTGATGAAATATTTCTGGCTATACTTTTGATGGTTGGTAAAATATTTGAGATTGATCCTTTTTGTGAAATATTTGAGGCTATACTTTTGATGAAATATTTGAGGCTATACTTTTGATGAAATATTTGAGGCTATACTTTTGATGAAATATTTGAGGCTATACTTTTGATGAAATATTTGAGGCTATACTTTTGATGAAATATTTCAGGCTTTCCTTTAGTGGGGCACAAGAATTGCTACAACAGTTCAACAAGATCAAGAGTAGCAGGTCCATGAAAGCGGAGGCAGCCTTCATTACGTTTGAGGATTTCAAGAATTACCTGATGCTTCCAGAATCTGAAGCTTTGAGAAAAGTTTTTGCTCTGTATGACAGGGTCTGTATCATAATCCTGACGTGTGTTTGTCATTATAATAAGAGGCTAGAATATTATTAACAGGCTAGTTGTCACCACGGCACTGCAAAGTCTTAGGGGCTGAGTGGTCTCATGCTATGGTGTCAGCTTTGAGAGCTGGAGGTCCCGGGTTCAGACCCTGTTGAAGGCTAGGACAACACTATCATACCATCAGACAGTACAACACTGTCATACCATCTGACACTACAACACTGTCATTCCATCTGACACTACAATACTGTCATACCATCTGACAGTACAACACTATTATACCATCTGACAGTACAACACTGTCATACCATCTGACATCACAATACTGTCATACATCTGTCACAACAATACTGTCATACCATCTGACCCCACATCACTATCATACCATCTGACCCCACATCACTATCATACCATCTGACCCCACAACACTTTCATACCATATATAACCACTGAATTGGTCCCAAACACTTCATCTTTGAGCTCCTCCTCCTTCTTCTTATCGCTCACCGGCTGTAAACTTTGGTGGAAGGTTCTGGTTGTTTGTCCACCTCTGGACTTTGGTCTTGTTATAGAACTTGAGTTTTGCATGCAGATTCATTGTATAGATCTGGCTCATTTGTATGCAGATTGTTGGTTTCTTGCCTATAAGGCTGATTCACTCCAACTTGGTAGACAACATCCCTCATTAGTCACCTTTTACATTATGCTTGTTGGAGGAGGAAGCACTCCCCTCCCCCCCCCCCCTCCCCTAAATGGGGACCTGGAACCCCCACACAGGGACAGTGAGCACTACTAAAGCTAAGATCTTCTGCCAGTTGCCTTCTGGTTCATGTTGACCATTTATCCAAGGTGTACTACAAGAACATGTACAATCAAGACATTGAGCTGGTGCTGCAGTAAGCTACAGGGGTCCTTCACTGTCTGCTGAACTCACTAGCTGAAACTGTCCTCATGACTGTGACAGAGATGCCCACACCTCTGACTGTGACAGAGATGCCCACACCTCTGACTGTGACAGAGATGCCCACCCACACCCTGACTGTGACAGAGATGCCCACACCCTGACTGTGACAGAGATGCCTGATGCCCACACCTCTGACTGTGACATAGATGCCTGATGCCTACACCTCTGACTGTGACAGAGATGCCTGATGCCTACACCTCTGACTGTGACAGAGATGCCTGATGCCCACACCTCTGACTGTGACAGAGATGCCCACACCTCTGACTGTGACAGAGATGCCCACACCTCTGACTGTGACAGAGATGCCCACACCCTGACTGTGACAGAGATGCCCACACCCTGACTGTGACAGAGATGCCCACACCTCTGACTGAGACAGAGATGCCCACACCCTGACTGTGACAGAGATGCCCACACCCTGACTGTGACAGAGATGCCCACACCCTGACTGTGACAGAGATGCCCACACCTCTGACTGTGACAGAGATGCCCACACCTCTGACTGTGACAGAGATGCCCACACCCTGACTGTGACAGAGATGCCTGATGCCCACACCCTGACTGTGACAAACATGCCCGATGCCCACACCTCTGACTGTGACATAGATGCCCACACCCTGACTGTGACAAACATGCCTGATGCCCACACCTCTGACTGTGACAGAGATGCCTACACCTCTGACTGTGACAGAGATGCCTGATGCCTACACCTCTGACTGTGACAGAGATGCCTGATGCCTACACCTCTGACTGTGACAGAGATGCCTGATGCCTACACCTCTGACTGTGACAGAGATGCCTGATGCCTACACCTCTGACTGTGACAGAGATGCCTACACCTCTGACTGTGACAGAGATGCCCACACCTCTGGTTTGAAGTGATTTTTGGAGCTTACAGATGATACAGGAAAACATGCTCATTTAAAGTGACAGACTAGATATGAATTATTTTAAACAGTAAATCCACATATGAGATCAGATAAGAAAACACTAAAGTAGAGTGATAGAGTAGATGTAAATTCTGTTAAACAATAAATCCACAGATGAGATAAGAAAACACTACAGTAGAGTGATAGAGTAGATGTAAATTCTGTTAAACAATAAATCCACAGATGATATAAGAAAACACTAAAGTAGAGTGATAGAGTAGATGTAAATTCTGTTATACAATAATTCCACAGATGAGAAAAGAAAACACTACAGTAGAGTGATAGAGTAGATGTAAATTCTGTTAAACAATAAATCTACAGATGAGATAAGAAAACACTACAGTAGTGTGATAGAGTAGATGTAAATTATGTTAAACAATAAATCCACAGATGAGATAAGAAAACACTACAGTGGAGTAATAGAGTAGATGTGAATTCTATTAAACAATAAATCCGCAGATGAGATAAGATAAGAAAACACTAGAGTGATAGAGTAGATGTGAATTCTATTAAACAGTATATCCACAGATGAGATAAGATAAGAAAACACTACAGTGATAGAGTAGATGTGAATTCTATTAAACAATAAATCCACAGATGAGATAAGATAAGAAAACACTACAGTGATAGAGTAGATGTGAATTCTATTAAACAATAAATCCACAGATGAGATAAGAAAACACTACAGTAGTGTGATAGAGTAGATGTAAATTCTGTTAAACAATAAATCCACAGATAAGATAAGAAAACACTAAAGTAGAGTGATAGAGTAGATGTGAATTCTATTAAACAATAAATCCACAGATGAGATAAGGTAACAAAACACTAGAGTAGAGTGATAGAGTAGATGTGAATTCTATTGAACAATAAATCCACATATGAGATAAGGTAACAAAACACTAGAGTAGAGTGATAGAGTAGATGTGAATTCTATTAAACAATAAATCTACAGATGAGATAAGGTAACAAAACACTACAGTAGTGTGATAGAGTAGATGTGAATTCTTTTAAACAATAAATCCACAGATGAGATAAGATAAGAAAACACAGTGATAGAGTAGATGTGAATTCTATTAAACAATAAATCCACAGATGAGATAAGATAAGAAAACACTACAGTGATAGAGTAGATGTGAATTCTATTAAACAATAAATCCACAGATGAGATAAGAAAACACTACAGTAGTGTGATAGAGTAGATGTGAATTCTATTAAACAATAAATCCACAGATGAGATAAGGTAACAAAACACTACAGTAGTGTGATAGAGTAGATGTGAATTCTATTAAACAATAAATCCACAGATGAGATAAGATAACACTACAGTGATAGAGTAGATGTGAATTCTATTAAACAATAAATCCACAGATGAGATAAGATAGGAAAACACTACAGTGATCGTGTAGATGTGAATTCTATTAAACAATAAATCCACAGATGAGATAAGGTAACAAAACACTAGAGTAGAATGACAGACTAGATGTGAATTCTGTTAAATGTGTTGTGTTTGTATCTGTCCAGGATGGGTCGGGCACCATTGACTTCCGGGAATACGTCATCGGCTTGTCTTTACTCTCATCCCCAGTCAACAACGATGATACTTTGGAACTTGCTTTTGAGGTTAGTCCAACGTCTATGACTTCAGCCATGTTTAGTATGTATATATATAGTTTGATAGAGCCGTCATCACTCAGTGGGTGATATGGTCACTGCCTAGCACCCCCTGTGTCGGTTGCGGGGCCTCACTTTAGGGGGAAATTGAATAGACTCACTGCCTCCCTAACAAGCTGGTTATAAAAGGTGACTCATTTGGGATGTTTCCTCAAGAGTTTCATGTCAACTGCTTGAGAGGTGAGGAACCAACAGCCTGCATACAAGAAAACCAGATCTGTTGTAAAAAAAAAAATTTAATTGGGGAAGGGGGGGGGGGGGGTCACAAAATTTAAGTTCTGGACCAAGAACTGAAGTGGACAAACAGCCAGAACTTTCTGCCAGAGTTTCAAGCCAGTCAGCTTATAGAAGAAGAACACTTCCCAAAACCTTTCTTGGTAGCCATTTTGAGGCTTCATTGACCCGCAAACATTGGGTCCCTCTGGTTTCTGAACTTGGAGAGGAGGTGAAAAGCTGTGCAGTAAGTCCTCTACAAGATAATGCTCCCTACTGAGTCTTGAGACCAGACTCACTGCCATTGCTAAAGCCCATTTCTTGGCTAAGATCACATCCAGACTAGTTCGTTGTCTTCTTTTTTTTATTTGTTCTGCCAATGTTTTTTTTTTTAGATGAGGCCACAGGCCCATGTGAAGACTGGGCATTGATGCATGTCCTCCAGTGATATATGTCCTCCAGTGATGCATGTCCTCCAGTGATGCATGTCCTCCAGTGATGCATGTCCTCCAGTGATGCATGTCCTCTAGTGATGCATGTCCTCTAGTGATGCATGTCTTCCAGTGATGCATGTCCTCCAGTGATGCATGTCCTCCAGTGATGCATGTCCTCCAATGATGTATGTCCTCCAGTGATGCATGTCCTCCAGTGATGCATGTCCTCCGGTGATGTATGTCCTCCAGTGATGAATTCCCTCCAGTGATGCATCTTCCTCCAGTGATGCATGTCCTCCTTTAGTGATGCATGTCCTCCAGTGATGCATGTCCTCCAGTGATGCATATCCTCCAGTGATGCATGTCCTCCAGTGATGCATGTCCTCCAGTGATGCATGTCTTCCAGTGATGTATTCTTCCAGTGATGCATGTCCTCCAGTGATGCATGTCTTCCATTGATGCATGTCTTCCAGTGATATATGTCCTCCAGTGATATATGTCCTCCAGTGATGTATGTCCTCCAGTGATGCATGTCCTCCAGGGATGTATGTCCTCCAGTGATGCATGTCCTCCAGTGATGCTTGTCCTCCAGTGATGCTTGTCCTCCAGTGATGCATGTCCTCCAGTGATGCATGTCCTCCAGTGATGCATGTCCTCCAGTGATATATGTCCTCCAGTGATGCATGTCCTCCAGTGATGCTTGTCTTCCAGTGATATATGTCCTCCAGTGATATATGTCCTCCAGTGATGCATGTCCTCCAGTGATGCATGTCCTCCAGTGATATATGTCCTCCAGTGATGCATGTCCTCCAGTGATGCATGTCCTCCAGTGATGCATGTCCTCCAGTGATGCATGTCCTCCAGTGATGCATGTCTTCCAGTGATATATGTCCTCCAGTGATGCATGTCCTCCAGTGATGCATGTCCTCCAGTGATGCATGTCTGTCTTCCAGTGATGCATGTCCTCCAGTGATGTTTGTCCTCTAGTGATTCAGACATCTTCATTTCCATCAGAATGCCAAAAGGCCAGACCTGGGATATCTCTACTATGTGTAGACATCATATCAGCATCATGTTCAGTATTCAGTGGTACTTGTCCACATGGGCACAGTTGTGAGTACCCAGTCTTTAGCTTCCTCTACTTATATATGGCTGCCGAGTCTGCTATTTCCAACAGTTCACAGTCTAAATAAAAGAGTTTGTTGCTTTCATGAGACCACTTCTTTCGACCGTATACTTAGAAATCAATCTTCCAGAAGATTTACTCCACATATATGTATATGTGTACTGACTTAGTCGATCCTCTTTTACCTTTGTGTTTAGAGGTTTGCCAGAGAAATCACCAGACTTCTTAGCAGCTTTTGGGCTTTGTTTCTTTCCAATCTTCACTCAGTCAGGAACTGTCAGATGTTGTCTTCCCAGCGAACTCTGGGTCATCCTGGAGACCTGGTTCCTGGCCTCCATTACCTGCTGTGCTGGCTGATTCTCTGCCAGTATGTGTGTCATGAGAAAATTACTTATCTCATTGTCTCAGCTTTTTGCCAGTACAACTTCCTGTTGAGTTGGCCTTGAGTGAGAACACAGCTGGCAAATATTGGGCAACAAACTTTCTCAACATTTTGACTGAGCAGTCTTTTAATAAAGCATAAGCCCCCATCCTCCATCCCCTTGTTGATCCCCTGTTTGCTTCTTGTTTCAGCTGTTTGACCTTGACAGTGATGGACACATTTCACAGGACGACCTCAAGACTATACTGGGTCAAGCTTTCAACATTCCTGAGGAAGATGCAGAGACACTGTTTAATGAAGTGAACACTTCTTGCAGTGGCAGAATTACCCTGGGTGAGCATCTTGTCCTCTCATCTCACCTGTGTACTCAGTATCTAGTCTGTCACTCTGCTTTAGTGTATTATTCTCCTATCTCACCTGTGTACTCAGTATCTAGTCTGTCACTCTGCTTTAGTGTATTATTCTCCTATCTCACCTGTGTACTCAGTATCTACTCTGTCACTCTGCTTTAGTGTATTATTCTCCTATCTCACCTGCATCACGGCACGGCGGCGTGACATGGCACGGGCATCGGCAGCGCGGTTCACCAGATCAGCCAATCATCAGATAGTATTGATACCTGCACAATACAGTATATGCTGGTCTCTTAGAGGATAGGCAGAGCGAGAGGACTTCTCCGCAATTGTCACCAGATATTGATACCTGCGCAATACAGTACCTGCTGGTCCCTTTGAGGATAGGCAGAGCGAGAGGACTTCTCCGCAATTGTCATCAAATAGGACTGAAACCCACATAACACAATACAAAGTATTTGCCAGAGCGAGAGGCCTTCTCCGCAAGCACCATGTCTCGGAGAAACAAACCTAACGGAAGGCGCAATGGACAGAGGAAACAACCCACTGACCGATCTACCCGATCTAACTCGGAGGCCAGGAAGACGCAGACAGTTAGTACCGAATCACAGGAAGACGCCCCGACTACCAGTGAGGCCCTGAGTGACATTCCAGCGTCACCTGAACCAACACAGCCAACTCCACAAACATCTCCAGATCGACGAAAGACAGGCAGCTATGAATTTCCTGCCACAATATTTCTACAACAGACCAGCTCGGGCCGGACAGCAATCACTACACTGGCAACGCTAACATTGATCAATATGCTGGAGATCATATTAGGCAAGAGGGCAGTCGCAAAGATTAGGAGAACTCGAGAAGGAGTGATAGCTTCACTAAACAGAACCAACCGCACCTCAGACATGCTGGATGACATCCAACACGACGGCAAGAAAGAACTCCGACTATCCGAGGAGATAACTGTGACGGCCACAATCTTCCAGAATGTAAGACGCTGGGTGATCCGAAGAGTCAACCTGCAATGGAGCAACGAAGAAATTCTGCAAACAAATAAGGAAAGAAAACCCCAATGTCAACATCAACCAAGCAGAGAGAATGGGCTCTCAAAACGGCATCCATTGCCAGTGGCGGTGATAACATCGAAGGAGAACACATCCCGGATAAAGTTTACCTAGATCAAAGAATGCAAAGACCAGAGCAATACGTGCCACAGGTGATCCAGTGCTCTCGTTGCCAAAAAAGCATGGCACTCCCGGGCCACTTGTGTGAGCGAACATGAAGTATGTCGATACTGTTCACAACCCCATGCCTTCAACAATTGCCCGCTGGCAAAGCTGGACACAGACTTTAGGTCTCCCAATACGAACAGGAAGTGCGCCAACTGCTACGGCCAACACAGCACCAGGTACCTGGGGTGCCCCTATCTGCAACAATGTAGAGAAATAGCAACCACGGCCATACGGGAAAAGATTCCATACCATGAGGCCCGCAGAAGACACGAAGCAACCCAAGGCATATCTGCAGCCGTTACCACCAAATTGAGCAACGAGGTGGCTCAACTCAAAAGTGACATCCAAGCTCTCAGAGACGAGAAAGACGCATCCAAATCCCAACGAGATAAAGACAGAGATGAAATAACAGGCCTGAGAGCTATAATGCAGGCGACTCTTGACACCCAGAAACGGATGACAGCAGAGATGACGAAATTCAAGGAGGACATCATGAATGCACTGGCCACTATCCAGACACAAAAGGAACAGCCAACTAAAGCAAGGGAAGACGAGGCGGGCATCAATGATCTGCGGGATAACCAACAACTTCTCGCGAAAGAAGTCGCAATGATCAAGAAGGCACTAGCTGAAACAGAGGAAAAGTTACGTAGAGCATACGAAGAAAACAACAGACTTAATAAGGAACTGCAAGCAACCAACAGAGTGATGGAAGAAAGAGAGAAAGCACGGAAAGAGGCAACAAGAAGGCAGCAAATACAGGGAGCCGAGACCCAGAAAAAGCCACATCAAACGCCAGATAAGAAAAATCCGACGCCGCTGATGAAACAGTTTCCGGTGGCAACAATTGACCAAATAAACGAACGCATCAGGGAGCTGGAGGACCCGAACTTCTTTAACTCAGAACTGCAAGATGATGACGTTCTTTCGTCATCACCAGAGGAACCATATCGACAGCCAAAACCTGAAGTCAAACGAGGTCGACACCGTTACCTCAAACACTAATACCAGATACGACACAACCAAGGCCAAAATTACCGAAACCCTATGTAGGAGCAGTACTATACAACAAGGATACGAGAAAATCACCAAATAATACCAGACCTCAGCAGTATTGCCATCAGTACCTGCCCAAGTCAACCGACCGCCGGTCCTTATTAGGATAGGCAATTTACTTTCCCCGGAAACAACAAACAGCCAAGGAATACCACAATAAATCGATTCAACATCCAATCAACTTGAGCGCAGCACAGGGCCAGCCAAATTACAAAAACAACAGCAAGAGCGGAAACCACAACAAATAGAAAGTGACAATATTGAACACAATCCAAAATCAAATGAGATCGAGACCAGAAAACGTCACCACAAATATAGCTGAAAGGAAAGTGAGCAGAAATGTGAACGGACCTAGCTGAAAGTGGTCAACGAAAGAGAATTAGAATTAAACTATCTCACCTGTGTACTCAGTATCTAGTCTGTCACTCTGCTTTAGTGTATTATTCTCCTATCTCACCTGTGTACTCACTATCTACTCTGTCACTCTGCTTTAGTGTATTATTCTCCTATCTCACCTGTGTACTCAGTATCTACTCTGTCACTCTGCTTAAGTGTATTATTCTCCTATCTCACCTGTGTACTTAGTATCTACTCTGTCACTCTGCTTTAGTGTATTATTCTCCTATCTCACCTGTGTACTCAGTATCTAGTCTGTCACTCTGCTTTAATGTATTATTCACTATATCCAGCCAACCATTGGTAATCAGTGTGTCATGTGTTCAGTATCCAGCCAACCATTGGTAATCAGTGTGTCATATGATCTATATCCAGCCAACCATTGGTAATCAGTGTGTCATGTGATCTATATCCAGCCAATCATTGGTAATCAGTGTGTCATGTGATCAGTATCCAGCCAACCATTGGTAATCAGTGTGTCATGTGATCAGTATCCAGCCAATCATTGGTAATCAGTGTGTCATGTAATCTATATCCAGCCAACCATTGGTAATCAGTGTGTCATGTGTTCAGTATCCAGCCAATCATTGGTAATCAGTGTGTCATGTGTTCAGTATCCAGCCAATCATTGGTAATCAGTGTGTCATGTGTTCAGTATCCAGCCAATCATTGGTAATCAGTGTGTCATGTGATCTATACCCAGCCAATCATTGGTAATCAGTGTGTCATGTGTTCAGTATCCAGCCAATCATTGGTAATCAGTGTGTCATGTGTTCAGTATCCAGCCAACCATTGGTAATCAGTGTGTCATGTGTTCAGTATCCAGCCAACCATTAGTAATCAGTGTGTCATGTGTTCAGTATCCAGCCAATCATTGGTAATCAGTGTGTCATGTGTTCAGTATCCAGCCAATCATTGGTAATCAGTGTGTTATGTGTTCAGTATCCAGCCAATCATTGGTAATCAGTGTGTCATGTGTTCAGTATCCAGCCAATCATTGGTAATCAGTGTGTCATGTGTTCAGTATCCAGCCAATCATTGGTAATCAATGTGTCATGTGTTCAGTATCCAGCCAACCATTGGTAATCAGTGTGTCATGTGATCAGTATCCAGCCAACCATTGGTAATCAGTGTGTCATGTGATCAGTATCCAGCCAACCATTGGTAATCAGTGTGTCATGTGTTCAGTATCCAGCCAACCATTAGTAATCAGTGTGTCATGTGATCAGTATCCAGCCAACCATTGGTAATCAGTGTGTCATGTGTTCAGTATCCAGCCAATCATTGGTAATCAGTGTGTCATGTGTTCAGTATCCAGCCAACCATTGGTAATCAGTGTGTCATGTGTTCAGTATCCAGCCAATCATTGGTAATCAGTGTGTCATGTGATCAGTATCCAGCCAACCATTGGTAATCAGTGTGTCATGTGATCAGTATCCAGCCAATCATTGGTAATCAGTGTGTCATGTGTTCAGTATCCAGCCAATCATTAGTAATCAGTGTGTCATGTGTTCAGTATCCAGCCAATCATTGGTAATCAGTGTGTCATGTGTTCAGTATCCAGCCAATCATTGGTTATCAGTGTGTCATGTGATCTATATCCAGCCAACCATTAGTAATCAGTGTGTCATGTGATCTATATCCAGCCAATCATTGGTAATCAGTGTGTCATGTGTTCAGTATCCAGCCAACCATTGGTAATCAATGTGTCATGTGTTCAGTATCCAGCCAACCATTGGTAATCAGTGTGTCATGTGTTCAGTATCCAGCCAACCATTGGTAATCAGTGTGTCATGTGTTCAGTATCCAGCCAACCATTAGTAATCAGTGTGTCATGTGATCAATATCTAGCCAACCATTGATACTTGATCTGTGATGTGGTCAATATCCTACCAGCCACTTCTACTTCAGAGAAGATTATCTGTGCTTATTTAAGGCTGAATTGAGCTGCATTGACATGCGAGCCTAGGATCATGTGTTTAAACATTCCTGTCTTAAGTAAATGACCCATATATTGTTAATCTTTGTCCCTATTCGTTTTTCCTGTGGTTTTTTTTTTTTTTGGGGGGGGGGGGGAGGGGGGGGGGGGCATGCCATTTATATCCTTTGTATTGCATGAAGACACCATGTAATGAAAGACCTTCAGCCATGTAGCATTTCACTCTTCTGGCAGCAGACAGTTGTTACAGGAAACTACCATGTGCTAGTTAAAAATCCAACTCCTTCAGCTGTAGGGTGTGGCTAGTCTACCTCCTCTACCCAGACACCTGGAACCCATTCTGATACATCATGTGCCAGCTGCCTGTGCTCATACAGTTTAGTTATGTAACCAGTGAATGCAGGGGCTAGTTTATTAAAGTAATCAGTGAATGCAGAGGCCAGTTTTTTTAAGTAATCAGTGAATGCAGAGGCCAGTTTATTAAAGTAAGCAATCAATTTAGAGGCCTGTTTATTAAAGTAATCAATGAATTCAGAGGCCCATTTATGAAGTAATCAATGAATGCAGAAGCCCGTTTATTGAAGTAATCAATGAATGCAGAGGCCAGTTTATTGAAGTAATCAGTGAATGCAGAGGCCAGTTTATTAAAGTAACCAGTGAATGCAGAGGCCAGTTTGTTGAAGAAATCAGTGAATGCAGAGGCCAGTTTATTAAAGTAATCAGTGAAGGCAGAGGCCAGTTTATTAAAGTAATCAGTGAATGCAGAGGCCAGTTTATTAAAGTAATCAGTGAATGCAGAGGCCAGTTTATTAAAGTAATCAGTGAATGCAGAGGCCAGTTTATTAAAGTAATCAGTGAATGCAGAGGCCAGTTTATTAAAGTAATCAGTGAATGCAGAGGCCAGTTTATTAAAGTAATCAGTGAATGCAGAGGCCAGTTTGTTGAAGAAATCAGTGAATGCATATGCCAGTTTATTAAAGTAATCAGTGAATGCAGAAGCCAGTTTATTAAAGTAATCAGTGAATGCAGAGGCCAGTTTATTGAAGTAATCAGTGAATGCAGAGGCAAGTTTATTAAAGTAATCAGTGAATGCAGAGGCCAGTTTATTGAAGAAATCAGTGAATGCAGAGGCCAGTTTGTTGAATAAATCAGTGAATGCATATGCCAGTTTATTAAAGTAATCAGTGAATGCAGAAGCCAGTTTATTAAAGTAATCAGTGAATGCAGAGGCCCATTTATTGAAGTAACCAGTGAATGCAGAAGCCAGTTTATTGAAATAATCAGTGAATGCAGAGGCAAGTTTATTGAAGTAACCAATGAATGCAGAGGCCAGTTTATTAAAGTAATCAGTGAATGCAGAGGCCAGTTTATTGAAGTAATCAATGAATGCAGAGGCCAGTTTATTAAAGTAACAAATGAATGCAGAGGCAAGTTTATTGAAGTAATCAGTGAATGCAGAGGCAGTTTATTGAAGTAATCAGTGAATGCAGAGGCAAGTTTATTAAAGTAATCAGTGAATGCAGAGGCAAGTTTATTAAAGTAAGCAGTGAATGTAGAGGCCAGTTTATTATAGTAATCAGTGAATGCAAAGGCAAGTTTATTAAAGTAATCAGTGAATGTAGAGCCCAGTTTATTAAAGTAAGCAGTGAATGTAGAGGCCAGTTTATTGAAGTAATCAGTGAATGCAGAGGCAAGTTTATTAAAGTAATCAGTGAATGCAGAGGTCAGTTTATTGAAGTAATCAGTGAATGCAGATGCAAGTTTATTAAAGTAATCAGTGAATTGAGAGGTCAGTTTTTTGAAGTAACCAATGAATGTAGAGGCCAGTTTATTGAAGTAACCAGTGAATGCAGAAGCCAGTTTATTGAAGTAACCAGTGAATGCAGAAGCCAGTTTATTGAAATAATCAGTGAATGCAGAGGCAAGTTTATTGAAGTAACCAATGAATGCAGAGGCCAGTTTATTAAAGTAATCAGTGAATGCAGAGGCCAGTTTATTGAAGTAATCAATGAATGCAGAGGCCAGTTTATTGAAGTAACAAATGAATGCAGAGGCAAGTTTATTGAAGTAATCAGTGAATGCAGAGGCAGTTTATTGAAGTAATCAGTGAATGCAGAGGCAAGTTTATTAAAGTAATCAGTGAATGCAGAGGCAAGTTTATTAAAGTAAGCAGTGAATGTAGAGGCCAGTTTATTATAGTAATCAGTGAATGCAAAGGCAAGTTTATTAAAGTAATCAGTGAATGTAGAGCCCAGTTTATTAAAGTAATCAGTGAATGCAGAGGCAAGTTTATTAAAGTAATCAGTGAATGCAGAGCCCAGTTTATTAAAGTAATCAGTGAATGCAGAGGCCAGTTTATTAAAGTAATCAGTGAATGCAGAGGCCAGTTTATTAAAGTAATCAGTGAATGCAGAGGCCAGTTTATTAAAGTAATCAGTGAATGTAGAGGCCAGTTTATTAAAGTAATCAGTGAATGCAGAGGCCAGTTTATTAAAGTAATCAGTGAATGCAGAGGCCAGTTTATTGAAGTAATCAGTGAATGCAGAGGCAAGTTTATTAAAGTAATCAGTGAATGCAGAGGTCAGTTTATTGAAGTAATCAGTGAATACAGATGCAAGTTTATTAAAGTAATCAGTGAATTGAGAGGTCAGTTTTTTGAAGTAACCAATGAATGTAGAGGCCAGTTTATTAAAGTAACCAGTGAATGCAGAGGCCAGTTTATTGATATGCGAGTGAATGCAGAGGCAAATATCTTCCAAACTTATTGAGTTATTCTCCAGGGTCCATAGAGGAGGCAAAGAACAGTCAACTGTAACCTAGCTTGCATGGTGTAAGAGACAACTGGAGAACCTCGGCTATACAATCCCACCAGTGGGGACTCAATCATTTAAGGACTATGTTAATTGTTTGGGGGCTTGTGTTCCATTTGAAAGATGAACAAATAAGAGAAGGCCAAGAGGACGAAGAAGAAAGGAGTTAACAGACTAATGATATTCTCCACATTTCAGATGAATTTAAAAGCTATGCTAAGAAAAAGCCAGAATATGCCAGGATTTTCACCACCTATAGAGACCTGAACCTGCGACAGCAGCAACAGCTAGAGGGCAGCTCCATACAGACCCTCTACGATTCTGACTTTGAACAGTGGGCTACTCAGGTGGATGCTGCCGCCAAAAAGTTGCAGTGATCATAGCTGTGTGTTCTTGTTAACTATTGGCTGTTCTTGTTAACTATTGGCTGTTCTTGTTAACTATTGGCTGTTTTTGTTAACTATTGGCTGTTTTTGTTAACTATTGGCTGTTCTTGTTAACTATTGGCTGTTCTTGCTTTACTGTTTATTTACTTGATCTTTTATTGTGTTTTTGCAGTGGTTGTATGGCGTTAGGGAAATATAATTTTAAAAAGCTGTAAATATCTTCATTCTTTTATTTCACATTATTACTTCATTGTATCTCTTATTAATATCATTTATGTCTCATTAACATTTGAATTTCTTTTATTACCACTATTATATTATATATTAAAATATTAGTTTTGATTTTTTGCTACTATTTTTTTACCAATAGTTTATTTTATTTTATTTCATTTATTCCACATCTTATTTTTTTTTTTATTGTTGCTCACCTCACCCCTAGAGATCTGTATATTCTCCTCGTTTTTTATGTGTGTAGTTTGACAAAGGCTGTCCGGCCAAAATATTACGTTATTTGTGTTGTTTTGTGCACGTTTTTCTGCTTCTGCATTTTGTTGAGCTTTTTAGTCAAATTTCTCTGGAATTCCTTGAATGGTTAGTCAGTAGACTGGGGTTGGGGTCATCTGATCACCTCTGTATAACTTACAAGAGAACAATCACAAGAGACAAAACAGGATGTTGCACATATATAAAGACTTCATTAACAATCATAAAGATACTCGTCATCTTTTTCTTCATGTCCTCTTTTGCTGATTCTGATGTCGAGGAAAACACAAGGATCTGATTCTGATTTTGAGGAAAACACAAGGATCTGGTTCTGATGTCGAGGAAAACACAAGGATCTGGTTCTGATGTCGAGGAAAACACAAGGATCTGGTTCTGATGTCGAGGAAAACACAAGGATCTGGTTCTGATGTCGAGGAAAACACAAGGATCTGGTTCTGATGTCGAGGAAAACACAAGGATCTGGTTCTGATGTCGAGGAAAACACAAGGATCTGGTTCTGATGTTGAGGAAAACACAAGGATCTGGTTCTGATGTCGAGGAAAACACAAGGATCTGGTTCTGATGTTGAGGAAAACACAAGGATCTGGTTCTGATGTCGAGGAAAACACAAGGATCTGGTTCTGATGTCGAGGAAAACACAAAGATCTGGTTCTGATGTCAAGGAAAACACAAGGATCTGGTTCTAATGTTGAGGAAAACACAAGGATCTGATTCTGATGTCGAGGAAAACACAAGGATCTGGTTCTGATGTTGAGGAAAACACAAGGATCTGGTTCTGATGTCGAGGAAAACACAAGGATCTGGTTCTGATGTCGAGGAAAACACAAGGATCTGGTTCTGATGTCGAGGAAAACACAAGGATCTGGTTCTGATGTCGAAGAAAACACAAGGATCTGATTCTGATGTCGAGGTAAACACAAGGATCTGGTTCTGATGTCGAGGAAAACACAAGGAAATGGTTCTGATGTTGAGGAAAACACAAGGATCTGGTTCTGATGTCGAGGAAAACACAAGGATCTGGTTCTGATGTCGAGGAAAAAACAAGGATCTGGTTCTGATGTCGAGGAAAACACAAGGATCTGGTTCTGATGTCGAGGAAGACGCAAGGATCTGGTTCTGATGTCGAGGAAGACGCAAGGATCTGGTTCTTGTGGTCTGGCCACCTCGCCTGTAGAAATTTGTTCTGTTGTAAAGTTTCTCTGACGTCAGTTTTCCTGTCCTGCTCTTGGTCAGCCTGCGGCTATACATCTGTTTCCCATCATGCTCTTGGTCAGCCTGCGGCTATACATCTGTTTCCCATCATGCTCTTGGTCAGCCTGCGGCTATACATCTGTTTCCCATCATGCTCTTGGTCAGCCTGCGGCTATACATCTGTTTCCTGTCATGCTCTTGGTCAGCCTGCGGCTATACATCTGTTTCCCATCATGCTCTTGGTCAGCCTGCGGCTATACATCTGTTTCCCGTCCTGCTCTTGGTCAGCCTGCGGCTATACATCTGTTTCCTGTCATGCTCTTGGTCAGCCTGCGGCTATACATCTGTTTCCCATCATGCTCTTGGTCAGCCTGCGGCTATACATCTGTTTCCTGTCATGCTCTTGGTCAGCCTGCGGCTATACATCTGTTTCCTGTCATGCTCTTGGTCAGCCTGCGGCTATACATCTGTTTCCCGTCCTGCTCTTGGTCAGCCTGCGGCTATACATCTGTTTCCCATCCTGCTCTTGGTCAGCCTGCGGCTATACATCTGTTTCCCATCCTGCTCTTGGTCAGCCTGCGGCTATACATCTGTTTCCCATCCTGCTCTTGGTCAGCCTGCGGCTATACATCTGTTTCCCATCATGCTCTTGGTCAGCCTGCGGCTATACATCTGTTTCCTGTCATGCTCTTGGTCAGCCTGCGGCTATACATCTGTTTCCTGTCATGCTCTTGGTCAGCCTGCGGCTATACATCTGTTTCCCGTCATGCTCTTGGTCAGCCTGCGGCTATACATCTGTTTCCCCGTCATGCTCTTGGTCAGCCTGCGGCTATACATCTGTTTCCCATCCTGCTCTTGGTCAGCCTGCGGCTATACATCTGTTTCCCATCCTGCTCTTGGTCAGCCTGCGGCTATACATCTGTTTCCCATCATGCTCTTGGTCAGCCTGCGGCTATACATCTGTTTCCATCATGCTCTTGGTCAGCCTGCGGCTATACATCTTGTTTCCATCATGCTCTTGGTCAGCCTGCGGCTATACATCTGTTTCCCATCATGCTCTTGGTCAGCCTGCGGCTATACATCTGTTTCCCATCATGCTCTTGGTCAGCCTGCGGCTATACATCTGTTTCCCATCATGCTCTTGGTCAGCCTGCGGCTATACATCTGTTTCCCATCATGCTCTTGGTCAGCCTGCGGCTATACATCTGTTTCCCATCATGCTCTTGGTCAGCCTGCGGCTATACATCTGTTTCCCATCATGCTCTTGGTCAGCCTGCGGCTATACATCTGTTTCCTGTCATGCTCTTGGTCAGCCTGCGGCTATACATCTGTTTCCTGTCATGCTCTTGGTCAGCCTGCGGCTATACATCTGTTTCCTGTCATGCTCTTGGTCAGCCTGCGGCTATACATCTGTTTCCTGTCATGCTCTTGGTCAGCCTGCGGCTATACATCTGTTTCCTGTCATGCTCTTGGTCAGCTGCGGCCTATGCGTATACATCTGTTTCCTGTCCTGCTCTTGGTCAGCCTGCGGCTATACATCTGTTTCCTGTCATGCTCTTGGTCAGCCTGCGGCTATACATCTGTTTCCCGTCCTGCTCTTGGTCAGCCTGCGGCTTTACATCTGTTTCCTGTCATGCTCTTGGTCAGCCTGCGGCTATACATCTGTTTCCCGTCCTGCTCTTGGTCAGCCTGCGGCTATACATCTGTTTCCCATCCTGCTCTTGGTCAGCCTGCGGCTATACATCTGTTTCCCATCCTGTTCTTGGTCAGCCTGCGGCTATACATCTGTTTCCCATCCTGCTCTTGGTCAGCCTGCGGCTATACATCTGTTTCCCATCATGCTCTTGGTCAGCCTGCGGCTATACATCTGTTTCCTGTCATGCTCTTGGTCAGCCTGCGGCTATACATCTGTTTCCTGTCATGCTCCTGGTCAGCCTGCGGCTATACATCTGTTTCCTGTCATGCTCTTGGTCAGCCTGCGGCTATACATCTGTTTCCCGTCATGCTCTTGGTCAGCCTGCGGCTATACATCTGTTTCCCATCCTGCTCTGGGTCAGCCTGCGGCTATACATCTGTTTCCCATCCTGCTCTTGGTCAGCCTGCGGCTATACATCTGTTTCCCATCCTGCTCTTGGTCAGCCTGCGGCTATACATCTGTTTCCCATCATGCTCTTGGTCAGCCTGCGACTATACATCTGTTTCCCATCCTGCTCTTGGTCAGCCTGCGGCTATACATCTGTTTCCCATCATGCTCTTGGTCAGCCTGCGGCTATACATCTGTTTCCCATCATGCTCTTGGTCAGCCTGCGGCTATACATCTGTTTCCCATCATGCTCTTGGTCAGCCTGCGGCTATACATCTGTTTCCCATCATGCTCTTGGTCAGCCTGCGGCTATACATCTGTTTCCATCATGCTCTTGGTCAGCCTGCGGCTATACATCTGTTTCCCATCATGCTCTTGGTCAGCCTGCGGCTATACATCTGTTTCCTGTCATGCTCTTGGTCAGCCTGCGGCTATACATCTGTTTCCTGTCATGCTCTTGGTCAGCCTGCGGCTATACATCTGTTTCCTGTCATGCTCTTGGTCAGCCTGCGGCTATACATCTGTTTCCTGTCATGCTCTTGGTCAGCCTGCGGCTATACATCTGTTTCCTGTCATGCTCTTGGTCAGCCTGCGGCTATACATCTGTTTCCATGCTCTTGGTCAGCCTGCGGCTATACATCTGTTTCCCATCATGCTCTTGGTCAGCCTGCGGCTATACATCTGTTTTCCATCATGCTCTTGGTCAGCCTGCGGCTATGCTCTTGGTCAGCCTGCGGCTATACATCTGTTTCCCATCATGCTCTTGGTCAGCCTGCGGCTATACATCTGTTTCCCATCATGCTCTTGGTCAGCCTGCGGCTATACATCTGTTTCCCATCATGCTCTTGGTCAGCCTGCGGCTATACATCTGTTTCCCGTCATGCTCTTGGTCAGCCTGCGGCTATACATCTGTTTCCTGTCCTGCTCTTGGTCAGCCTGCGGCTATACATCTGTTTCCCGTCATGCTCTTGGTCAGCCTGCGGCTATACATCTGTTTCCCATCCTGCTCTTGGTCAGCCTGCGGCTATACATCTGTTTCCTGTCATGCTCTTGGTCAGCCTGCGGCTATACATCTGTTTCCTGTCATGCTCTTGGTCAGCCTGCGGCTATACATCTGTTTCCTGTCATGCTCTTGGTCAGCCTGCGGCTATACATCTGTTTCCTGTCCTGCTCTTGGTCAGCCTGCGGCTATACATCTGTTTCCTGTCATGCT